GAAGCCTAGCCATGATGATAATGGCTTCAGCAAACATTCCCAGTATAATGAATAACTAAAAGATGAAACTTGTTTTTATAATTCATTCTATATTTCATTGCAAAGCACCTACCTGAACATGTCTCCTAAGCCTTTCAGCATTCCTTTCTTTGCCTTAATTTTATCCTTCTCTTTGTCTCGATCTTTCTTCTTTTCCTTTCCAGCTTTTTTTCTGTCACCTTTATCCTGGCTTCCATTCATTTGTCTCTCCAATGAGTGGGATGGCTGGTCGCTTGCTGTGGACACAGATTCTCTACCAGATCTTGAGCTCTCCTCTGTGTCTTCCTCCACTGAAAGCACATATTAAGAAATATGGGTGGGATAAAACAAACAACAAGGGCAGGCTTTTTGGTATATTTCATAATGTATTTTGAAGCAGGATATATGCACAGCCACAATATACTCATTTTTTTTTTTTAAAATCAGTATCTGCTAACATAGGGGTTTCCAAGAATGTTCATTAGAACTATAAAACTACTAAAAACAAGGAATTGACCTCTGCAGACTCTCTGAAAAACACGATTTTTACTTTGTGGGTACCCTAAATAATGTGTGGATTAATAAAGAGGATTAGCAATGTGATGTTAATTGACCCATTTTGTTTCAGTATCTAAATCAGTTGAGGAGAGCTTTAGAAATATCTGCAAGAAGAAACAACAGCAGTGCAGCATGCCTTGTCAGTAAATTCTTAGTCATACTCTCATAAAAAATATGAAAGTCATTAAGGAGTGTTAATCCTAAACACAAGCCTTAAGACTTTTTCTTCTTCTGCAAGTAACATAATAGTTTTGTTATACTACTTCATTTCCTGGAGCTGCTTAAAACACATAATGCACTATGAGTTTTATTTTTGTTGCTATTCTTGGTTCAGATGGGGTGGCCTGGGAGGTTCAGGTGGGGAGATTTCACTGAGCGGAACAAGTAAAATCCTTTAAGGACAGATGAAATGTTCATTCCCCGTTTCTAATCCAAAACCAAGACTCCTAAAGTATACCCAAGGTTAGATTTAACAGACCACATGTAGTTCAGAAAGTTTGAAAGAAAAATGACCAAAAGAAAAAAATCCATTAAAAACCTGAAAACTCCTCTAGGAGTTTAGTAAGAAAAAAATAAAACACTTCAAGCTGGTGGGTCAGAATCCTGCACTGGTGAAGCTGTGACTTTCCATGAGCTCTAACATTTCATATCATCACATTATAAGTAGGGCTGCAGTCATCTCTCAGTTTTTCAACAGACAGTACAAAGCAGCAATTAGGATCACAGATGCATACTTAGTGCTGTCTCCTGTAGCTCTAATGAATACAAAGGCTCCAAACAACTTTTGGCAGCAGAAGTTGAAAAATCCAGGTTTGCTTTATGATTGTTATGTTTACTTTTTATTATTTATTTGAATTACTATAATAATAACAAATTATTTGTTATAAATTATTTATGTTATTATTTTCATATCAAGCCAGTACAGTTTCAGGCAACAGGTCCAAATTCAAATGTTCTCAATCTGTACATCCTTAGTTAAGCAGGATCCCTGATTGTGTACTTGCCTGTCTAAATCTTGACCAAAGAACTGACTTTCAGCATGGAAGTCACATAGATCATAGTATCTATGGAAAAGAAAAAAACTTCTATACTCAATAAGATTTGAAAATGGTCACAGCTTATAGAAGGAAAAAAGAATAATTTTTTTGTTTCCCCTAGTTTACCACTTCTTAATATTATTCCTGCTAATATTACTCAAGATCTCAGCAACTGTTCTATAGCCAATAGAAGAGTACAATTCTTTGGAAATTTCTCATACATAGACAACTGTAGAATGTAAACTTGCTTTTCTTAGTCATCATTCATTGAACCTGAAAAATCTACAAATCACTGACTGAAAGCCATTCAATATCGTCTCATTTCTCAGACACTTGCTTGTAAAACACTTTTTATTCATTAATATTGCAACCCACTCTTAACAGACTTAATACTTATTCACCAAGAATCAAGATTTCTGTAAATATTCTCCATCCCCAGATCACATAAACATATTTCAAGAAAAACATACTACGCCAGATATATTTCAACACCAATAACCATTTTTGAATCTCAACTAGTACTCTGAAGTACAAACCACCAATAAAAAAAAAGAAAACACTAGGCCAGGTCTTGGCATTTAATGTTAACTTGTCTTCAGGACTGTTATGAGTAAAGTAGATAATATACTTTTTCAAATAGAGATACAGTTTTAACATTCATATAACTGCATTTTATGAAACTAATCGGTCCTATCCATGCCTCTGTACTAGCTGTTCTTGTACTTTTTTCGGTCACAGCATTTCTTAATCAGTGTCTGGAATGATATTTAGTTATTATTAAAAGAGTTGTGGAAAAACACTTCGGAATAAAGATGTTAATTTTTTTGCACATTAATTTATAGCTACAATCTGTTCCAGTTAAAACCAACTAGACATTTAAAAGATTGTACTTGCAAACGAATATAATTAGTAAAAAAACCCTGCATTAAATTTCTGACAAATTTTGAAGTCAACAGTTTACTTGGAACTTCATTGGCAGAATTTTAGAGATTAACCAGTTTTGACCTATGATTGTTCAGATTCATATAACAATTCGCTATATTAATCATAAATGTGTGTTGTGTACTGTGCTATGCTGAGTTGCTGAACAACTTGTCATAACAATGCTTTTGCTTAATATTTATTTTGCATATTCTATGGAGAGAATATTGCCTCCTTTCCACACTGGTGCTGCAATGTATATTTGTCTATCATACACAATTTGCTTGCAGTTAGCTCAGTAGCTTAAACTGAGGCCTATGAACTAGGATGCCTGTCCTCCTGGAGTAAACAGTGGTCTCTCAATTGGACTAAAGAGATTTCCAGTTTTCTTAAAAGGACTTAACATGAAAAAACCCGTTTCACTTTAATGCAGCACATTCATTCTGCAATTAACATACACCTAATTACTAGTGTTTAGAACAAATGTAAATGCCGCTCAATTAAAATTCAAGCCCAGGCTACAAATGAAACTTCTAATTTTTGTTATGTTGCAGTAATGACATTAGGTTACTGCAAAATGCAGAATGTATTTGTTTTGGTGCTGTTATTTCCTTCCTTTCCTGCAACCTCCTGCCTCCCCATTCGGGATGTTGAAGCCAAAAAATTAAATTGGAGTATACTTTAAGCATCAATTAGACCTGAAAACTAGTGTCATTTGATGAACCACACTGTGATATGGAGAACTACACAAACAGGTATTATGAAGCTATTCTCCTAATTAGCCCATAAAATGGAAAAGATGCACATGAGGAATCAAAGCTACTTAATGTGAAGCTATTTTGCCACTAAGCTTCTAGGGCTCTTATTGTGATATTTAATACAGCCCTAGATTCTAGCAATTAAGATTCAGCAAAAGATTAGAAAGCTTTGTCCATCTCTCCTGATCCAAATGCTTTGTTCTCATTCATGACGCTAAAGATAAACATTTTGCTTCTAGTCAGCTATTTCAAGTATTAAGAAAAAAAAAAAAACAAACAAGAAAAAATACCAAGAAAAATTATCTGTAAAAGCTGAACACCCACACCTTTCCACAAATGTTCCTTCTTTACAGCCATTAAAACTCACACATGTCTTCTCATATACTTAAAATGTTACTCCAGAACTGGTCATTGCCACCTGATTTTCACCCTACAGGTAGTAATTCAAAATCATACTGTTCCAAGGACAGCAAGGACATTTAGAAGATTCAGCCACTTTGCCACAAATGCCACCTGTATTTTTTATGGGTTTTGTGCATCAGATGACGACATCAGAAATTCCCCTATACAATATACTACAGGGCTATTATTTGCTACTCCAAAGCAGGTCACTATCTGGAAGACAAAGAAACACTCCTAGCACGGAAACACTTGGAGGAGAAGGGTGAAAAAATTCAAGGCAAATGGATCCAACCTCAAGGGCATCAGAAAATTGACCTCCAACATGTTTGCCTGGGTTTCATAATGACAGAAAGCCACATTTTAATTTCAAACAATTACAGAATAATTAAAAACAATTTACAAAAACTTAGGCAACGTTGTTATGGCAGCAGTGAGGCATTAGTTATGTTAGGACCAGATTGCTAAACTCCTACATATTCGTATGTGCCCAGGCTTTGTCCAGCTGAAGACACAATTTGGTATATTCTCTGGAACCTAAGGCTACGTATAATTTACACGAAGTGGAGCAGACTGCACTGCTTTGAGTTTTAACACATATACAGACATGTTTTCAGAAAGACAGGCAGCATATGGCTGGGACAGCTCTTAGTCTGCCATGGCCACCAAGAGAAGGAGAGGATCTCAAGGACTGAAGTCCAACCAACTTACTATATTTGCTTTGCTACTCATCTGCTTCTATGAACCTGACACTTAAAATCTCTGGATTATTTCTTAGATGTTTCATGTATGTGGAAGCTCTTAAAACACAACTCAACAGAAGGCATAGTTCTACACATTGGTCACACTTTGCTGAGCCTTTCTTTACTATGTGAGATTTGAAAACACCCTCACTCTTGCTCTATTACGACATGAGATGGCTGTTGGTCCATCAGTGCTAGACAACTGCATCCAAACAGAGTGATGAGGGCAAAGACTCATCCCATGTCATCTCGATTTCAGCCAGAAGGCTTTGGTTGTTTTCTGCTAGTGCTGGTTTTGACTGGGATAGGGCTAATTTTCTTCCCAGTGGCTGATATGGGGCTATGTTTTGGATTTGTGCTGCCTACAGGGTTGATAATATAGAGATGTTTTTGTTGTTGCTGAGCAGGCCTTACACAGATGTAAGGTCTTTTCTCCTTTTCGCACTGCTATGCTGGCAGGGAAGTCTGGGGTGCCCTGGAGGTTGGGAGGAAACACAGCCAATACAGCTGACCCAAACTGACCAAAGGGATATTCCATACCATATGACATCATGCTCAATATATTAAGTTGGGGGTAGAAGAAGGAAAGGAAGGACACTTGCAGTGAGGGGGTTTGTCCTCCCAAGTAACCATTACACACTGATGGGGCCCTGCTCTCCTGACAATGGTTGAACACCTGCCTGCCCATGGGAAGCAGTAATTAAATTCCTTGATATGTTTGGCTTGTGTGTGCAGCTTCTGCTTCCCTATTAAACTGCCTTTATCTCAATCCATGAGTTTTCTACCTTTTCCCTTACGATTCTCTCCCCGACCCAGCTGGTGGGAGAGCGAGCAAGCGGCTGCGTGGGGTCTGATTTCTGGCTGGGGCTAATCCATGACACCACTGCTTCCATGCAAAGGATACAAAGGGCTCCAAATACTTCCTTGCTACTCACTATGCAGTGCATTAACAAGCTCAAAACCCCTTACCAGAATATCGTAAACCTACACTCATCTTGAAAGTGCTTCATGACAACAGTTTTGCTATATTTTTTATCAAATGAAGTTAAACCATCTGTAACTTCAGGGTAAACCTTAGGTATCTGAAGCCTCAAATCAGGATATTACTATCAGTGGGCTCACACAAAACAGGGCCTTCTATAAAAACACGGTCTTGTGTCCCAAAAGACCATAGGCATGCAGCTTGTGAGAATGAGCAGGATCACTACCCGTTTTCTCATACCTATTCTTCTACTAGCCAGAAATAGATTGACAGACAGCAGCATCAGATCAGCATTTAGCCTCACTGCTGCATGAAATTGTTAGGTGCTGAAAAAGTAAAGCAGAATTAATTCTGTCTGTAACTACCTTTGAGAAAAGTGACTGGCAAAATGACCTCCCTTTCAGTCTAAGAACTCTTTTTTAGAAAGAGGCAGATTAAAAAAAAAAAAAAAAAAAAAAAAGTGCTTACATAAGTATATTTAAGAAATGATGCCTATGAAATAGACTTCCTGAAACTAAAGTTTTTTAAAAAGGATGAGAGTGAAAAATTCCTTTTCAAGCCTTTTCCATTAGTATTCAGGCTAAATACTTTACTACAACCTTCCCACCATCCTCTTCATTCACAAACTTCTAACTAGCTGCAGGTTGATTAAAAAAAAAAATTTTGCTGGTGTTTGACAAGTTGAAAGTAGTACAACATGAAGGTTAAAAATTCAATGATTTTAATACAACCCCTGCTTGAGGTAATTTACCATTCATACTATTTTCATTCAATATGAGTTGTCATTTTACCAGCCCATTCTTACATAGTTCAATAATGATAAGGTTAGCTTTGAAGTGATTCTTTTATGTTAATGACATTCTCCACATGTTGGGTCATACTTCAGGTTAAAGAACTGAAAATGTAAATGAATGCCCATTAGGGTGGGTAATAGCTGATCATTAACTTTATATTTTATTAGATCTGCCAGCCTTACTCACTCTAATTAAAGAACAGTGATTTCTTTTTATCCCCCCAACACTACAAATGTGCTCTTCAAAGTTCTACACATATATTTTTGTAACATAAATTTAGTGGGTTTATTTGTTTTTCTGCCTAAATTTTTTTCTAAGTTATATTAGTACATTAGTTCGCTGTCTTGCAGAAAATTTTCATTGTAATTTAATAAACACACTCTCAATAGTCTTATTTTCTCATTTTAGCAAAGAAGAAAGCTACAGAGTTTTGCAATCTGTTAATGAAAATTACTGGAAAAAGCCTGAAAAAAAAAAAATTGACAAAGTTAGTTCTATTCCTTTAAAATCCTAAAATTATCTTCTACTACTTTAGTCACTTTCTGAAGTAATCAGCCTATGTTGTTAATATTCGTTATGCACAGTAGTCTACTTACAAGTTTCCATGCCTTCATCATCATCATCTGCTACAGGTTTATCATAGGATTTGTCTATGGCAGCTCTGAAGCTTTCGTTGCAGCCTCGTCCTCGGATAATTCGTGGGCGCGGACGGTGGAAGGGAATGTCACCATTCAGAGTCACCTCAGCAACGGCTGTCTGCAGGCTTTCTAATGAGCTGGATTTCTTCAGACCTAACGAAGGCCCCACATCTCTGGTTGGGGAACCTTAGTGATTTAAGGGGGGAGAAAAAAATGTAATTAGAATTAGTATTGAGAACTGCACGCTTGATTATGCATATCCATCCTGAAAGTCTTTGGGGACACACTTAACATTATTCACATCGTCTCTCAATAATCTGTAGGGAATTCTCCACAGATTTGTTGGTCTCAGAAGCGAATGAGTATGTCAAGTCACAGTCAACGAAACAGACAACATTAGCAGTGTCTGGCTTTTCAAATCAGCGAAGAGAGACCAACATCCATTACTATTATTTTAAACAATTTAAATGATAAAGAAACCATGGAGCTTTAAAAACATAGCTCATAAAAGCAACAGAGATGCATATCTAATGGAATTAAACAAAACTATTAATTATTTTTTTATTTGAGCAGAAAATTTCATCTGTACTAGCAACTGATGAACAGAAAGCAGATTACGGGCATGAATCCTACTGTGTTTAGTGTAAGAGTCTTGCAAAGTAGCCTGACTTCTGGCATCAAAGAACACACTGTTTGTTCAAGTTTTAAAGACTTGCATCAAATTGCTAACAATTTCATAATGTTCATAAATGTTCTAAGAAATATCAGTTGACTTGCTCAGATTTTGTGAAATTGCTAAAAAATAATCTGCGGAAAGGACCCAATTAGACAGGCGACACCAGTTACCCAGTTGGAAAAGAAACACACTCCTGACGGTCAGCATGTTGAAGTTTGGGCAGCATTACAGCTGGGGTTGAGGGCAGCTCTTATCACTGCAGCATGTCCAGAGGTGTGCCAAGTAAACCCTTGGGCAGTATTCTTTCTGCAAAAGCTTTTCTCCATCTGGATTTTTTTTCTCAGGTTTGTGGACTAAATGTATAGCCTCTGTTCTTACATACACTGTCACAGCACAAATCATAGGAAAATTGTAAAAATTAGATCTCAAAGTTAAAACTGGGAGAAATTTTTCGAGGTGAGGGGAAAATCACTGCATTTATTTGAAGTGATTTTATTGAGAAGTGCAGTACAGTCTTGGCTAGATTTTGCAAAGGATTTGGGAACGGAGAGCAAGATGAGGTGGTACAACATCACCATGGCTACATTTCCTGAAATTATGAGACCAGAGCCCTCTCTACCCAAAGGGAACAGAACAGATAAATGTTGTTGCCCCACAGCAGACCAGGTGGTGGGTTGTTACTTAGTTGACATCAGTATCCTTATCTGACAGAGGCATAGAAAGATAAATTTCACAGTCAGACACCAATGAGAGACAGAGCTAAGACTTGGTATAACTCCAAGTATATCAAACCTATGAAAGGTACATTAGTAAGCATGGTCTGGTGTGAATAAAAGTGTAATAAAGGAAAACCTTTTGTAAAGTATTTATCTCAGAATAACATAAAATTCTGAAGTTGATCCCTATTCTGGTAGATATTAGGAGAGAGAAGAGGGGCAGTATCAGTCACTGCTCTTTATGAAAGGTATGTGAAATTACCTTAAAATGCAGAAAATTGCTACTACACTACTAAAACTATTCAGTATTGGTTGGGGAAGAAGGGGGTTACTGGGCCCCCAGAAAGGATGCAGAATAGCAGCATGACAAGTCTTCTCCATGTAATTTGTTAACTTGGTATGAGATGCAAAACAGCAAATGCCTTCATTTTCTATTCAGCTATGAAAAGTCTGAGAAATTACATTAAACTGAAATCCCTTGGATCAAATAAATTCAAATAGCAGCTGCCAAAGGATTCCCCTTCAGCTGACCTACTGATGAGACGAACTTGTAAACAGAAACAAACCAAAAATCCTGTCCCACAGGTCTACACAACTCCTGTAGTTTGATTCCGCCAGTAGTCCATAGACCTGCTGCTTGGACCCTTGGCCAAAAATAAACACACCCCAACAAATGAGAACTTTTATCTTTATGAACTCACATCTCCTAGAAGAAGCCATCCTCTCACTCACAGCCTGTATGTGTTGGAGGGCTGAGGGCCATGAGGATGGTTGGGGCCAGAGTGCAATGGCCAGTCGGGACTAGGAAGGGGTGGTGGCTTCCCAGCTGTGCTAACAACCTGCAGTCCACGGTCACCAAACTTCTGATCATGGGCTGAAGTCTTGGGGAAGCATCTTACATAACATTCTCTTTACCAATTAAAAGAACTCCAATTAAGACAGTTCCTACAAAACTTTCCACTTTCTCATTTATGCTAAATCCTGCTATTCCTACACTAAAGCCTGCAGTACACAAGAAGTGAGATTTTATTTTGCTTTTTACTTTTCGAGACTGTATTTTTTTTAAACAATTCATGAGACAGAAAAAAAATGGATGCAACATTTTGAAGGAAAAAAGAGGAAACAGGACAATCATATATAAACCAGCTGTTTGACAGTTCCAATTTCATATACAAAAGAAAGAGTATCCTCTTACATGGCAACTTACTGTAAACTTCCTTATTCCACATTCTGCTTTGCAGTCTTCCAAATAAAATTATCATATATCTTTCCCTAATTACTGAGTGGCTCTTTTTCTAAACATTAATTATAAAGAAGGCATTTATGTGCCCATTTATGTTCATAAAGGACATTAAAAAAAAAATTCCATTTACTGACACCCAATACAGATCTTTGTGAGAACCGTATGTGCATAAGTTGCGTTTTCCCGAAGGAAAAGCTAGATGGGATATGACCTAATGTTGAGTACTGTAAAACTAATAATAGGTTACAGAAATGATAAGAATATGTATTGAACTTTGGTGGCCGTGAACACAAATGTGAACAGGTTGCAGAATCTGAAATGGGGAAATCTCCTTTCACAAACCTTTTAAGTACTGTGACCATAAAGCTATGCATATTTTAATACCTTCACTATCTTCTATGGCTACTTCATAGCAAGTCTACTATTTTCAAAATATATAGTTAAGTCTCCCTGTAAATTAAGTGAGTTAAGAATTTATTACTAGAATTCACCAGCCAGAAAGCGAGTTGTTTACTCATAATCTGCTAAGAAAAAGCAAACTTTCTTTAAAATGGATTCTGTTTAAAATTTATGAGTCACATCAAAACCTTGTCTTCTAAATACAAAAATGTCAGCATTTTCCTCCAGCCTTTACAGCACTGGTGGTAATCATCAGAAATGTTATCTGCTCAGAATGAGTTCTACTTCTATTTTGACACTGGAATTTAAAGTAGCAAAAAAAAGGAGAGGAAAAGACACATCTACCTAAAGCATATTTATATGACTGAGGATGAAAGGGATCCTTTTATCATTTTTAAAATTTGAAGTTTATCAAAATTTCCCATTCCGACAATTTCCTTAACAAATATCCTTTGAGGTATCTTCCTCCCTCTGTAGCACAGCAGTCCTTCTGCCACCACGTGCAGTGTCTCCTCCCACACTCGGCCGTACGGCTCTGCTCTACACACCCTGTCCATCTCTTAAGGGCTCTGTGACATGCCCACACCTCTCTGCCAAGCACAGCCCCTGCCCACCACACATGCATCCCCACTCTCTATGTCCCCAGCTGGGGGACAAGGGCCAAGCCTTGCCCTCCTGGCCATGTGGCCACCCACCCCCTGCTCATGCACGGCTGTGTGTGTCGGCTGTCACACGTAACTTCACAGCACCTACAGATCCAAGGAGACATTTAACACACAGACATCACATGGAGCCTATGTGCTGCTCCCCACTCCAAGTCCTTTGTCTGTCCCTTGCACTAACACTGTTCAACATCTCATTGTGCTTCCAATTATTTCACCTTACGTGAATTATTTATACAGTGACACACATCTGCTTGGGCCATTTGCAAAGGCAAAGCTCAGGGTGTCAAAGGCTATGTGATGTTTCCTCCAGTGAATAACTTTGTCAATAAGGTAAATTTTTCATCAGCACATTCTTTTAAGTCATTTAAAATTACATTTTGTTTCCTTTCTGAAACATTATTTTTATGAACTGTCAAGTAAATGCTTCCTGCAACTGATGCCAAAATCTTCTCTGGATTTAATTTAGCCAGTTTTCCAAAGGTATGAAGTATATTTTCTAAACACTTTCTTGAAGAACATTAGCAGTCATTCTATTTACTTACTAACATCTGCTCCATTACATTTGATAAATTCTTCCATTTCTAGCTCAACTCAGACACTAAGAGAGTAACACTTCATCTGGGGAGAGCAGGGAAGGAATAAAGCAAGAAACTGCATTAAAAACAGTTTAGTTTTGGTTCCATTTAATGAAACAGTTTACTTAAAAAGTACTGTGTAAAATAATAAATAAATAATTGAAATAAACGTTGACTTTTTTTTCTTTCTTTTTCATTTTCATATTGTGTACATGGAAAAATAACCACCCAGAGCTATAGTATGCCTGGGACTCTATAAATGAGCCATGCTCAATTGCTACTGAATATACTTTTAACCTCTAGGATGAACTGTAAACACTGCAAGGATTAGGTAATTCAAGTGAACTATAGAAAGAAAAATAATTAAAAAACTATTACAGTAACTAGGGCTGGTGAGTTTCATGCTCTCCTTTTCAGCCAATACTATTAAGTCCAACTGTGACAGTAACAGAGTTTGTTTTTATCTTTTCTAAAGTAAATATATGTTGAAGTTTTCTGGCTTCCAGAGTTCATTAAATGTTCAATACGCATTTGAAGCATTTTTTTTTTCCTAGAACCAGATAATTTTTAAGCCAAACTACAGTAAGTGGTTTGTTTAACAGCCACATCCATCTTCAGTAATGGGAGAAATCCAGTGTTTATATACAAAACCTGGTTAAAAGCACGCAAGATAAACAAAATAATAATACAGTAAAAGGTGTTTTTTTCCTTTTTTTCCAGTCAGTGAACTTTCTATGCACAAAATATGTAACTACCTAGTCCAGCTGGTACAGTCATGCTCTTTCACTCATGTTGTCTGACTTTTTTGGAATTTAGTCCAGGTGTTACACATAGAGAAAAACTATACTCAATTCATACCACCCTCTATTTGATACCACCAAAAAGACTGTGCACTTTTAAAACCTAGGCATCATATTTTACTAAAACACACAGGTTTTATACCATTCTAATCAGATCCCATTCAAACAGGCAGGTTAATAAGAAAATTAAAAATAATTTATAATAATTATGAGTTTGATCTTTAACTCCTTTTTATGTGAATAATGCTTAGGGGTGAAGGCAGTTCCTAAGCACTGATTATTACCACAACTATTAACACAATTTATACGTTCACACTCTGGTGGCTTTAATCCTTCAAAACATTCATACATTTTAATTTTGTGTACTCATTCTTAATTTCTAAAGCTGCAAGTCTGTGGCCCCATTCTTCAAAATTTTAAGAGCCAGAAGACTTAGCTGTTTAAATAAAAATTATAATTTTATCAGTTGATTACTTATAGCTTTTCAGTATTCCTACTCATGTTATAAAGTCTGGTTAAACAGAGATGCAGTTGCAAATTAGTAATTGTAAATTCTGTATGGAATGCACTACCCCTTAAATCATGCTAAAATAAATAATATTTTCAGGTTAAAAAGGTGAATTGTTCCTAATTAGAGCTAAGTAATGTTATGGTGTCCTCTGGATCTAGCCTAATTAAAATAGCATTCCATAGGTCAAAAGCTAACTTATATTAATAAATCATAAAGGTTCATAATTGCAGTTGGTGCATTATTTTAATTACTAATAAAAAATATGCCTTGAAAGCCATTTCTCATTATCATTTTCTGAAACACTACAATGAATGGTATGTGGAAAAGATTCTATTTACATATTCTTTTGTTCTTTTACGAGGCTCAGGTTTCAGCTCCAAAAGCAAATCAACTTGCACAAATAATCTTCAACTCAGCACACAACATGTATTTGACCACTTAAGGCCAAGGTAGCAGTTTTCTAATTAAAATAATTATTTTCAAGCACTGTGTTAGCACTGTAATAGCCAAACACTCGACTCTTCCAAATCATCTATTTCATGCATTTGAGTTTGAAGCTAGGAGGAGGTTTTCCAAGATTTCTTTTGAAAGGACAAAAAACTTCAAACAAGTCCAAATATTTATGAGTTCAAAGTGTAGAAACAGGTGTCTGCCTACAGTCACATGCATGACCTGTTGAATAAAATACCCTAGATACTTATCTCCACAGAAAATTTTCTTCTTCTGTATGACTTGATTATTCACAACAATAGAAAGCAGCCATGCAAGTACTGGAATATTCATGTTTTCATGCAATTTGACTGGCAGTTCTGTAATTGTGGTAAGCTGCTTTGACCAAGGTTTCTATAGCAACAGCCTTACTGTCAATTCTTACCTGTTTTCTGGTCATCCATTGTACTGAGCTTAGTCTCGTCAGCTACTGTTAAAAGGTAAATGCATAACGGTTAGCCCAGTTAGTGCCCATGCCCCACATGCATCCAACATTCCTCCTGTTTTGCCTTTTCTTTTTCAAGTTAGGGGACCTTAGAAATGTCACACTTCATGCAAATAAACTGCAACAGTAAGCAAACATTCTGGGTAGAAATGGCAGCAAACTAGTAACCTTCATGCAATGTCAGTCATGTTCACATCACAGGCAGGTACAATATGTTATTTACACGTTAGCACATCGCAACTAGTCAAGACAAGTAATACCACCAACCTTACTGTACCCTGAAGAAGTTGGTGAATTAGGGATTGTAGGTATGATATTCACAACTATTGTAAAGGAGTGAATTGCATTATAATTGCATTATATTTTATTGTTCCGGAGTAGAGAATTTTGTGTGTTTAATCAATCAAAACTCCCTGTTTAAGGTTACTAGAGTCGACAAATCAGAATCTAAATTCAATGGCAGAAAAATAGATGGGCTTGTTAGAAATTACTTATTCTCAGTTGGTTTATGAGTTAAAACGATCAGCTGATTGCCTGTCTTAGCTGTGGCCACTTTATAGGGCTTCTGATATAAATATTAAAACTTGGATCTCAAACAGATGTCAGACTCGCCCCATTTTCCAATTTTGAATTAATCTACAAAATGAGAGACTCTGAAGGACATTTAAGGCTAACTGGATTATAACAATGAACTGAGAACAAACCTGGCTACACAGAACCACAGTGAGGTACAGTTCTATACAGTTATTCTAAATGGATTGGTAAAATGCACTTTTCACCTCCATTTTAATAAATAATGTTTATTATGTTTATGTATAACCATATATCCAGAGGGCTGCAATGTTTGAATGTATGGACATTTACAAACAACAAACAATACACAGGCCACTTGGCCATTTAAGTTCGTATTTTTCTTCCCACAGGTAGACATTATGTGCAATAGTGCACATAATGTGCACATACACAATATGTTTGGAATTACAAAATCTATATACTTACAACATGAAAATCAGGTTCAAATAAAAAAAAAAAATTGAAAAAATATCACTCACTACCTAGATCCATGCTTTTGGATTTTCGTGTTTTAACAAACTCCAACTGACTGGCATCTGAAAATTGCTTTGTACGCTTTTCTGACATGCTCTGGCGTCCAAAACCCTCTCGCTGGAAGGCAAGCACTGGATCAACATCTGGACTAAGAGTGCTGTAGGAAGGGAAAAAAATCATGCGAACATTTATCAAGATCACGCAACCTTTTACTTTTCAGAGAAAAGCATTTATTTAGCATGTGACTTCTAGCAACGATAAAGTGCACAGTTTTAAATAAACCACTGCAAGTATTCAGTTACACACACGATGGATTTGGTTTACTGCATCAAGCAATTCTAGTTCAAAAGTATCAAGGATTTCACTTAAGAGCTAAATGAAAGATATACATATCTGATGCACTATACATATACTATCAGAACATAAAGCCCAACATAGTAATAATTTGAGGGAGAATAAAACAGTTCCTTTTGCTTCCTAAGAAACAAATATATTCTATTGATAGAAAATTATGAGATTTTTCTTCATCAAAAAATGTTTTTAGTAAAGCATAAACGGAATCTGTCCTGCCTGAGGCCCACAGCTTTAAAATTCTTCATTTAAAGACTTTGCATTGAAATTTCTCTCCATATGTGAAATTGCTTGTAAATTTTTCACAGCTTCTCTTGCTTTTAACCTGGCTATGACAGACAACCATATTTTTACCCATTGCTTTCCTACAGAACAAGTATTCACCACAATGGATCTACCACTAAATCAGTAACGGCGGTAACTGTTCTGAGTTTTGGCTTCTTCTGAAGGTTTCTGATGTGACCTTGGCTGAGTGAGTCAAGTCTTCAGCGAGCTTCATCAGAAGCATGCCAAAGGTAGATTTACTGTTGGTCAAACATTAGCAGAACCATGAATGTAAGCAAAATTTGGTGTGCAAGTTAACCCTAGGCTTGCAATGTGTCACCATGGCCACAGCACATGTTAAAAACAAATTAAAAAAAAAAAAAAGCAAGATTGCCTATTGCTAATAAACAGTATGAAAGGAAACACACAAAGATCTTTGACTCCTGGAAAAGGGCAGAGTATTTAAATTTCTATTTCAGCTGGCACAAAGAAAAATCAAAAGTATAAAATACTGAAAAATACTGAAAAATTAGTATTTTGCACCATTGTTATTTATCCTATAAGAAAATGATTCCTCAAAATCCCCTCTTTGATTGTTGTTGTACTTTAAGATACAAAAAAGCTATGCATTTTGTCACTGAGATCTCTAAGTAGATCTCTAAATATCATTCAAAATATTGTGTACACACATCTGTTTGGTACTACATATTTTTTACTGTAAGGGGTAAGTATAATACACATCTCATTCCTAGTGAGAAACAGGCAAATAGCGAATTTCTGCAAAAATCAACTCATACTTTTAAATTCTGTAATATGTACATGTTTATGTATACCATGTACTATAATTTCCAGAAGCATCTTTGATCAAGAAACACCTGGGCATTAGGCACAACAGGAAAAAAGTGTCCACACAAGGAAAAGTGTCCAAAGGCATGAAGGACAACAAAGGACAAAAATCACTATCCACATTACCAGGCAGCTGAGAAGAGATTCAGTTTAGTAATGGCAGATTTACAAATAATAATATATGTGCATGTGACAAGCACATAATACTTCAGTGTGAGCAGGATCAGAGCTTATATGAATAAAACCAATGTCAAGTGCCTTTTGACTTTAATGTTTCTGGCTCAGGCTCATAATGTTTTACATTTAATTACTGCAACTATTTCAGAGATGTCTGTGCAATTTAGCAGCATTTTGAAGCATATGCTTAAAAGCTCTGATGAATCAGAGACCAAACTCAAAAATAACTATTTAGTCCTCACATTCACTCCCACAAAATAGGGAAAAAATTATCTCCACATGATAGAAAGATAAAATAGCCAAGGCCAATATACTATTCTAGCATTTACAGCAATGCAACACATAGCTGAATAAGAACGACCTAAGTCTGAAATGTCCTCCAAAGTGTCTCAAACTGAACTCACTGGGTTTCAACACCTTTCATAATCAGATTATAATTGACTTTTCCAAGGCCACACAGGAGTTTCTGGCTCACTGCTACTCAGCCCTGTCTCTGAAGGCCAGCAAAAATGTGGTTTTACTAAGTGAGAACTTTTTTCCAGAAACATTTGTTAGCACTGTTCACATTTGTTAAAGATGACCAGCTTCATTTAGCTGAACAAAATGTATCCTGTGACACTTTCTTCAAAAAGGGTGAATTTCTAAAACTATTTCTTTTGGCTGTATGCTTCCTTTTTTATATGAGCTTGCTTTGATCCATCTCTATAAAGCTTCTAATAGAGCTGAATATAATTTCCATATAAACATAGCACACACATACATATTGAACTTGAAGTCCTAAGAACAAACTAAATTTCCAAAGTCAAATATAACTTGAAAAGGACACCACAGGTCCCTGAGAGAGCAGTGGGCCTGGGCATGGCATCAGCAACTGGGAATATGGGAGATTGGATCCCAGCATTGCCACTGACACCACCTTTAGGGACTTTCTGCTTCCTTGATCTGCCTTTCTCACACTTCCCCTTCCACACACACTTATTAGGGGAATTATTATTCCATGTTTACATAGTATCCTGCACACTAAAGGTGCTACTTAGCACCTTTATCTGAGCCCTATGAAGAGTTATCATTTTTCATGTCCTGTTTTACTTCTATTATCAGTGACCCATAAGCATGTTTTAGTAATTAAAGAAGAAGCAGATCACAGGAGTCTGAATGCACGTATATTGTCTAAAAGTATTCAAAAGTCCCCATGAAGAGCCACAACTGCAAAAGTCAGTGAGCACAGAAGAGGAACTAATGCCCTTAAAATGCCTCATTTTAATATTTTTCAACTACATCAATAAAAGACAGAAGGTGAATTTAGTGCAAGTCATTAAGCAATGCCAAATGCAATTTACTATATTCTAGCATACTTAACAAATAAGATTTCTGGAATGACAGCTGATCCTTAAAAGAATGTAACCGTCTTCTGACCCTCAATGTTATTAAAATTCCACTTATTAATCCTGTCTTATTGCCCCTTTGTTTTCATAACATTTTCATCAAGGATTAGGGAGATATTGTGAGGCTAGAAAAGCTTACATTTTCTTCTGTGATTCAGAACAGCTGCCATTCTTGTTTGGATAACCCTTCATCCATATTCTTAGTTTTACCCTTTGTGCCTTCCAGCAAAATCATACAATGCACCTTCACTTTACAAGTCTTCCTTCATCCATTAGCAACAGGAAATTAATGCAACACTCTAATTCTAGTGCTATTTACTTTTTTTTACAGATAGAATACATTAGATACTAAAGTATGGAATTGATCTACTCTTTTAAGTGCCATTGTATGTGAAGACCTTTACAATTTCTCATACACATTTAAGTTTTTTGAGCAATCAATTCCCTAATATCTAATCCCTATTTGCATTACTGTTACTTTCATTTACAAAGTACATGAATAGCAAGACACGCTGCAGAAGTTAGTGTAAAAGCATGTGCATATTTCAAATGGGTTTTTACTTTACATCATAGGTTTTTGCTCTTATTTGGTTAAAAAACCCACCCTCAGCAATAAGCTATTATGTGCAGGCTTCAGTACTATTCTATTTAAATGTTTCAGATACTCAGCTCTAAAAGTTTTTGCAAAAGTCAAATGGACTTTTCATGGGCCCAAATTACAGGTATGAGTTGTCCACGAGAAGAACTGCAACATTTAAAAAAAAAAAAAAAAAAAAGGCAAATGAGGATGAAAAAGTTACCTTTTTATGCAATCATTAAAACAGTGCTTAAAATATGGAACTCAGTTCCCGGGTATAAGATGAAATAAACTAGTATAAAGCAAAGAAGCAGCTGACAGGTGCATATCAGCTGGCAGGTGCTACTGCTGTTTTATTAAGATATTGCTGACACACTCATAACAGGCTCAAGGGATGAGAAAAATAAGAAAATTCATATACTTCACACCATTCATGGTAATTATCTAGTTTCAAGAAGTGGTAGTGTTCAGGGGTGGGCTTTCATTTTGCTATTAATTTTGCTATTAATACAGATAATTACAGGACTTGCAAATTAAATCTTAGATCTGTATTAATTGTACTAACTAACCAAAAAAAAGTATTTCTTTGCCAGAAACCTAAGCAAATAAATAGTGGAGCTCAATGCATTTCTCATTAAGACTCTTTTATTAAAATGTATTAAAGTAATGGAAGAGTCGACCTAAGATTCCCTAAAAATATTTTTACTATGGATTAAACATAAGAAGTTACTATCCATAGTTTTAAATGCACAACTATTACTTTCCAAATATTTAAATGTAGAGCTATTACTGTACATTGTCTTTGCAAATCATATAACAATATAAATGGTATTTGGTCACACATAATGAAGAAAACTAGTTCTTTTCACACAAGCATTAACACTAAGGAAAAATAAACATCTGCTTTGACCTCTAAGCAGATTTTAAAAGTACTGTACATTATTAGGAAAAGCAATGAAGTATACAGAAGTATTTAAAAGCTTCTAGAGATATAATGCAAAATAAAAATAAAATGTTTGTTTTATAGACTTAGAAATATTTACCATGAGGTTTATAAATTAAAATTTCCAATCACTCTTTCATAAACTCAAGTGTTTAAATTTTGTAAATTTTTTTTGACAAAAGCTAGCTCAGTTATCAATTAAATCAATATTAAATCATCAATACAGCTATATACCGATTTTTTCTTAGTAACATTTCCAAAAATATGCTTTAACACAGCACAACACTGCAACCAGAAGTATTTGTGAAGACTTCCTGAAACAGGGACAATTACCAGTTTGAAAACAGTAAAATACAAATGTGATGAAAAAAAAGTAATATTAGCAATAACTAAAAGTGTAACTAAAGGAAAGGATGCAATCACAGCTATCTCTTTTTTTCTTCCACCAAACCATGCTCTTACCAGTCTGTTGACTCACTAATTGCAGCTTTAGCCCATCCACCAGTATCAACAGTGCCAAACCCAACATCATCATGGGAGCTGGATGATGACTGGTCAGATAGATGAGGAGGAAGGACTGACAGCCTGTCATCTTCAATAATGACAGTGTCATCTTGAGGCATGTTCACCGTTGGAGACAGCTGATATTTACCTGAAAAAAAAAAAGGAGAAAACCCCCAAAACTAAATATTGGCAGAGAGTGCAGAGAATGCCTTGAAAAATATATAATCACAGCTGATCAAAGGTCACGTCAAACTGCAGTGCAACTGATAAGAGTGACACAATGCAGACAACAAAATTAACTATATCTCAGTTTATACTTATCTTCCTATACAGAGGTCTGAAGAGTAATGCACACCAGTTGTATCTGTGGCCTACTGGAAGAAGACCACAGTGTCACAGAAGAGCTGAGGTGTGAAAGGGACCTCTCATCTGGTCCAACCCTTCCTGCTCAAGCAAAGACACCTACTGCTAGTTGCCCAGGACCCCAGTCAAATTGCTTTTGAGCACTTCTCCTCTACCACCTCCCTGGGCACTCTGTGCCAGTGCGTGGTCATCCTTACAGTAGAAAATGTTCAGAGGGAACCTCACGTTTCTGTCTGTGCCCATTGTCTCAGATCCTGCCTGAGGAACTGTACCTCTCCTCTAAGACTGTAGTTCCTCTTGCATCACATCATTTAGTAGACACAAAGAATGAGTTCAACAAGGTCTAATAGAGCTCATCATTTCTTCTGGTCAGTCTTGCCCTCATGAAATTAGAAACTGTTCAACTGCTGCTGGGAAGTCAACACATGCAAAACTTGGAAAAAAATTACCAAATTCTATTACTACTAGATTCAAATAAGTTTTAACACTGTTGCTAAAATGCTTAAACTAGAACTATCACATACAGGAAAGGGACATCATAAAGACTCTGCATTAGTCTTTGCTCAGTGTCAGACTTCATTGGGTTAATTTGTGAGAGAAGTTAAAAAACTATATGACCTTACTAAAACAATTAGTAAATTGTCACATCTCATGAGGAGAAACATACTAGCTTAGTCAACCATTAATCTGGCAATAAGCTGTAAATTATTCTAAAACTATGATGCACCAGAGTAATGTATTGTAAAACTTCTATTTCCATAACCTAAATTGCTTCCATGGACACATCAACTATTTCTATCCTTTATTTTTCCTATAGATATGGAAAACTTGTGTAGAATTAGGGGAAAACAATGATTCCCCTTTTCTGGAAAGGTTTCAGTTACCATCATTACCCTTGCATGCAATTATTACAAAACAAACCAAAAACTAAAACTTTACTTTTAAAGAGCTAGCTAAGGTCCTCACTGAACTAGATAATACATATTGTGCAGTTTTCCAAAAAGGGGAAAACTGGCTTTAAAAGAGATCATTAAAGAAGGCTGAAAAAGTGGCTGGAAGAAAAAGGTACTGCACAGTGAATGTCTCATCATTGTCAAACTGAGATGAATGTATGCAGTTTGCATAACAGCTGATTCTGCCCAGTAATAGTTCCTTTGATGGACAGATTAACGTTTAGCCTGGTAATGTACTTCTTTCCAAACATAATGCCTACAAGACTGTTAACTCTGTAGTTAATAACGTCCCCAAAGAATTGATTGTGAAAAGGTATAACCTTATGGCATTCAGCAGATTGAACTTCCCATGTGAGAGGCTACAGTCATTCAGTAACATTCTTAACTTTTCACTACCCTTCTTGATATCTGACAAGGGTGAAGACTGACATTTTAATAGTTGCTTTGGAATTTAGGAGAAAACCCATCTGACGTGCCTATGCTTTTCATTGCAAATGAAGCTAAAAACAGGTGAAAGGCTTCACCTCCAGCAGATGGCTAGACAAACCTCAGCAATGGACTCAATACATCCTTTGTGGAGAACTCAGCTGAAGTGGACAGAAAACATCCCTGGAGAATTAACTCTGCAAGTGTTGTGAGAAATGTTACAAGGAAACATCAAAGAAACTTCAAACCCAGTAATCATCAGTATATTTGACTGATCTACAAATCTAAGGCATTGCCCAAGCTGTCTGCAAACCTCTTCAAGGCAATAATTTTCCCTCAGGCTAGAAAAGTACTATAAAATTTAGACTCTGAATACATTTCAAGTCCAGTTTTGCATATATTAATTCAAGTTCAGTGAGGTAATCTGTAATAATATAAAGTATTTTGGACAGTGTACTGAGAAAGGAAACACATTCTCCCTTTCAAGTGTGTCTCATCTTAGGGCAATGATGCTCAAATTTCTTGGACAAGTTACCAATCTAAAGAAGCATAGCAGACCACACCAAACTATGGGATAAGAAGGGTTCCCATCTGCCTGTGCAAAAAAGGAAGTCTCAGAGCTCCAGTACCAAATAGTTGGTCTCCAGGTCCATGAAGATTTTCACCTTAGAAGTTAAAACATGCCAAACGGCAACACTTCAAACCTATTATATGTCTATAATAGACCAGAAGATAGTCTGGACCTGAATTAAACCACCAACATAAAGCACTCAAAAAAACCCCTGAGCATACACAGTACATAAAATGAACAGCAGGTGTATTCAAGAAGAACTAAACTGTTTTGGGTCCTTTCAAATCTTGAAATTCCCTGAAGTTAATAAGTTTGCTGGGATAACTTGGCTCCCATACTGCCACTTCACTGTCATAAAACCCTATCTGGCTTGATCCCTGTGCTTTTGCTATTGCATTTTCTTTAAAGTATGGTCTACAAAATCTGTTGAACATTCTCACTCTATGTTCAAAACTCAGTATTCCTTTATGAATGACTCATGAGCATTTTGATACTGTGGAATTCAGACAAATTGTACAACAGACGCCTGGGGAATGTCTAAGGACAAGAATTTTTCCACTGTATCCAGGCCTTGGATCTGTCAACTGTTGTATCAGAGCATCACACTGTGATGAGATTCCTGGCCAAGGAACTACATTCTAATTGTAAAGGGTTATTTTCATTTCAGTGACACACACACTCTACAACTCTAACTACATTTTTGTCAGTAGTGCTTCCTCCTGATTCTGTCCTTAAGACAGCAATTATTTATGTAGAGAACAAAGTATTTCTTGTTGTGCAGGAACCATCAAATTTCTGGGGGATCCTTCAGGATGAAAGGCAGATTCAGTGCAAGCAATTGTTATTCTGTGCACCCCCTGATAACTAACTTCTGTTTAGTCATCGTTAGCAACAAAACTCACCACGTTCATAAAAAATATATAAGCAACTAGAAGAAAGAGATGAAAGAGGACTTTGTACTAAGCTGTTTGTTGTATAAGAATAATTTATTATAGACAGGAGCTATGTGTTTGTGTATTGCAAAACTCAGGAGCATAATGCATGATATACAAGAAAGGTGTATCAAAAGAAGAGACTTGAATTTTTAATTATAGAGTCAAGCAAATCAGTATAACACAGTTGTTATTCTGAATGTGCTAACAGCATGCAACCTGAAAATATTAAAATAAACAAACAGAAGGGTTTAATACAGCCATCTAATTCTTAAAAGACCTAATTTGTATAAATAAAAAAGCCTCATCAAAAACAAAAAAAAAATTTCCCTGAATACAGAAAGTTATATCTTTTCTCCATCCGAAATTTTCACAGAAATATTATCAAATGAAAAAGTGTAACAAAATCTATAATAGCAATAATCATCTAAAAAAGTAGATCAACATAAGAATCGTCAGAAACATTAAAAGATTCATGTAGCCTTTTTGCAGTAAGCAAACATTATTTTACATAATTTAAATCATGTTGTAAAATTGGTATTTTATTCTTACTCTCACAGCAAGGCTCTGACAACCAGTTCTTGCTGCCAGTTATGGATTGAAAGAGCAAGGAAATTGTCTTAAATACCTTTCCTGAAAATTACATTAGTGCATTTAAAAGAAAACTCTCTTAAAAGCTTCCTTCCAACTTTAAGTAATGACTAAAAACGGCAGGTATTTTCTAGACTTTGAGATTATTGTTTTTGAATAGACTAGCTTAGCAAAGACTCAAACCCATCAATTTTATCCAATAGCAAAAGCAGCAGAATGATCTACTCCTTCACCCATGAAACAAGTTGTGACCTCCTCACTAATAAGTACTGAGAGTACTAAAAGTTTACATAGTCAAACCCATTGAGGGGTAAATAAAAAGACATCAGTTGATTCAGAGAGACCACAAGTCAGAGGGCTCCTTGATATGAGGAGAACCCTCAAGGGAATCAGCACTGCACAAAGCACTCCTTTTGGCTTGTTTTCATGGTCAGGGAAGGTACAGACCTCCTGTCTTCCTCAGCCAGATTGTTCTTAGGAGTAATTCCCACTTTTAGGCCAATTTTCAAGAGAGGAAAAAACTCTGGAAGAGTCATGTGACACATTTTCTCAAGAAAATAAAAAAAGCCCTGAGTTTTTTCTCATTATCAATTTTAAAAGGATAGGAATTCCACTGCATAATAAATGATTGGGTCTCATAAACATTAGCTATTCTGAAACAAGCAACTGAATCTCTCTCTTGCAACAGGCTTTCTGTCATCTTTCTGTCATCTGCCACTGCAAGAAAACTTGCATGCAATAATAACACCGAAGGTTGTGAACACTGCAGTTTTAACTTAGCGGTACTGATTAATTCAGAAAAAATTTATTAGAAAACTGACTGTTCCCTAAAAACTAGGCTTATACAGCTCTGTGAAGCTGCAGAAGGGAACAGCCCAGTCAGTTCTGGCAAGACCACTTTTCAGCTATGCTCCACTAGATCACATTTACTATGGGGTTCAGGCTCAATTTGATTTCCATGTGCTTGCACTAAAGCCTCAATGGATTTAAGTCGCAACCAACCAGTTTTCTACATAGTTCCTAGTTCCTGAAAACAATACGGAAAAATCTCGATTCACAGGAAATCAAAACTTGATCTTCAGGTTATAAAAAACTTAGAAAATGTAGGATGGATTTTTTTTCCCCTATGTTTACAATGCAGAGGTATCTAAAAGCATTAGGTTTCAAAAGCTTTGGAAAGACTTTTTTTTCTTTTGTTGAAACATCAGTTACTCGCTACTGCTAAAGAGATGATACCAGACTGATGAACTACTAGTTCAATTTGGCATGGCAAGTTCTGTGTTCCTTTGATGTGGAAGTAAACTGCATTGCTGACACACATGCACACAGACTCTCTGAGTTTCTTCTCCCATCAATGGACAAGGTGTTTAAGCGATAACTTGTTAACGCTTATATGAGCTCTGTGTGTAAATCCTCTGCAGCACTGATGGAAAAAGCAGAAGGTATTGCTTTACAAATGCTTTATCTAAAGCCTTGACAACACAAGAACTAATTCTTTCTATGGTAATACTGAAGACTCCATATTATTTTATCACTCCTTAAATTTGTTGACAAATAAATAGGTTTTTTTCTAAGTGTTTCTCTTTAAGAGCATATGACTTTGGGTGACAAGGTTTCACGCTTCCTTGATTTTCATGTACACAATTTTTCTTCCAAGCTGCACAAAATGAAATGCAATAGAACAGAATATTTGTTTCCAATTATTGTTGCCCAAACACACACACAAAAAAAAAGACAGAAGACTTAATGAAAGAAAATCATTAAACCTAAACAACAAACCTGTGGATTTTCAGAGGGTTTAGCAGCAGTCTTATTCTGTTGCCACAAAGAAAATGCAAACCCCAAAATACAAAAATTAAAAAAAAAGAACCCCCAAAACAGGGTGAAAAATATACACAAACTATTTACTGGAAAAAGCCTAAGTGGTAGACTTTAAATTTTCTGAGGCTGAAAATCAATCTAAAGCAATTAAAAAGTAAGTTCAGCCTTGCATCATATCAAGTCTATAGCAGCATTTTCTAATATATTCTGTGTATGTAAGACACTAAAAAAACTCCCAGATTTAAGGGCCACATCTTCTGTTTAAAACTTGCAACTCAAGCAAACAACTGCTGCGTCTTCTGTCAGGTGCTATTTTCACCAAGCTGCTTTTTGTGTTTAAATTTGAAAATCCTTTCAAACTAATCCCATCCTAGTCAGTAAATCCAGCCACTCCTGTGGCAAGGCAAGTCTTTATTACCTAGCTCTGTATATCGGAAGTTGAATTGCTGCAGAGCAACCGCTAATAACCTCATTATCCACTGGGACCATGCAGATGGTATGGCACAGAATCTACACAAGGGATGCTTAAAATTAGTTATGAGGCTTTAAAATTGCTATCCTGCAAAGCAAAAATTCAAACAAATTAATGAAATGCCCTAATAAGCATAAATGGATGCAGGTTTGCCTTATTTATTTATTTTTGTGGTTTAGTAGGACTGAAACAAAGGAAAAGAAATGTTGGGAAAAAAATCATAAATTCCCATGAGTCACTGACTTTGATGTGATTGAAGACTCGACATGGAGCCTAGAACAACCAATAATTTATTGTTGCAAACCAGACATTGAAAAACCGTGTTAAATACTACTGCTATTCATTCTATCACCTGCCACAGGATACGAAACTCACTTTGAATTCCACTTTACTTTCTCTCACATTAACTATCCAGAAGGCTTGTGTGGAACAATTTGAAGGCACATTTTAAGTTGATCATCACAACCTCCATGTTCCCTGATTCCCGCATAATGCATTAATTTCCCTTCAGTGAATCACAGAGAGGAATAAAAACACGCCCTGCTTAGCAGAGCTGCTTTGACTCACCCATTATCCTACTCAACGCCACGTTCTTTGTGGGCGATTCGCTGAGACCCTCAATGCCGCTGTAGAGGGAGTGGGAAATCCTCCGCTCCCGGTCATCCAGCAGAGTCTCTATGGGCAGCTCTGGCCCGGAGGGGCTCCCAGGTGATTCCAACTGCACAGAGAGGGGAAAATTAGCACCCGGGGTCCACTTAGCCGCATGGGGGAACTGTAACAAATTGCCTAAGGCCTAGACCTGTCTGAGCACCAAATGAGGTAGAACTTCTCACCCTGGACAAAGATAATTTGCAATGACAGCTCTGCTTAATGACCAAGTTTCTAACCCCTTTACACTGCACCCCCCATGGTGCCCTGTCAAATTTCAAATCCTTCAGCAGAAAATTGGTGAAAAAACCCCATTGCGTTTTGGTGCCTTCTTGTTGCACAATTTCTTAAACAGACAGTTTGGGCTGTTTTCAATACCATCGGCAGACAGCTGAGCCACTTCCCCACAGTGACAGCTGGACACAACGAGGTCCTGGTCAGAACCACGGAACACAAACTCCCATTTGGAATTGGACTGCTGGTGCCAAAGAGATGCAACTCACTTTCAAATGCAATCATCATGGAAACCCCAGGAAAACCAAATACTCATATTAGTAACCAATGCAGAAACACTCAAAAGTTTCGTAGTTAGGAGAGAAAGAAAAACATAAAGTTGTCAGACTTCACTGTAACCTTTCTTTTTCTACTTGAGTTCTTTGCTCTGTCTTTCCTGCCTGGAGAGTAAAGACAGCTCACCTGCTTCATTAAGCTTGGATACTTCCCTGATCCCTGGCTGCAGCATCCAAAGAGTAGAAATGGCAAGACCAGGGGTGCCCTCCACCCCAGTCCTCAAACCCCTGGAACTGTCCACCACAACTGCAGCCAGGCTCTCCAGGCCATCACAAGACAAGATGAGGTACGTGGTGGAAGAAGCAATGGAGATGGACTGCTTGGCCACGTCACAGGGAAGAACACTGCACATAGAGCCCCCTGCCTGCCCCAACTGCTCTCCTTCAGAAGATTTCCCTGAGTGACTTCCCAGCTCAGCCTTTGCTTGCTGAAGTTGGCCTTCCTACATATACCTATCAGATGTTTCAAAAAGAGAGGAAAAAGTCTAGTTTTCCTTAGTGAGCCACAGAGAATGAGAGCTCAGGGGAAAGCAGCATCCATGTGAGGCAAAGAGAACAATTTGATATCAACTAGCTGGGTTTAGCCACCCCATCAGGCACAGGCAGCTCCACTATCAACGCAGCTCCTGGGAACAAGGAGATCGAGCACCTGTGCACTCACAGGTCAGTGTGGATGCCCAATTTGCCAGGGCCCAGTTGCTCCCTGTAGAGACAAGAGACTCTCCACACTGTGTCCCAGTCTTCACACCATGCAGCCTTCCTGCCCCTAAACCTCTCAGTGCACCTGGGCTCCAGCAGCCTGCTGGGCTCTCAATAATGCGACCAAGGTGCTTCGCCAAGACCATTACACCAGTTCACCTAAATATTGTGAACTGAATTCAGCTCTATTAAAAATAAACAAATACTATAAAAATAGATGTAATTTGCAGGAAAGTAATATGAACTCACATATCAAAGCATTAGCTCTTCTCACCAACACACCTTTTCATATTGAAGCATATAGTTAAATTTCGAAATCAATGTCCTAACACAAATCCCATGGCATTCATTTCATATGTATTGAAATACAGTGGGGACCAGGCACTGCAAGAAACTGAGCACACTGCAAACTATTTGAAGCCACCGGGAATTTTTATTCCAAGTACTAGTCTTCAAATGAGCATGAGAGGAGTAGTTCCTAGTTTCGGGAATTACAGTAACAAGCAACATGTTTGTTGGTTGTTTTTTTCCTTCTTGAAACAGCTGCCTATTATTAATCAGTCCACCCGCAATTCCCAGATGACTAAGAAATGTATGCTATGAAAAACTTTAAAAATCTGCTTCAAGGGCTATAAAGCACTTGGCTACAGCCTCCACAGCAAAGGCTTTGAAGTCAGCCTGATGGACTGACGACTTCTGACATCCGGGAGCTGGCGTGGTGCCTGGTACACAGAGAGGTGGAGGTTTGCGAAACGCCACGCTACAGTCCAAGAGACTGCGACTGGGAGGTTGCAGACTCTGTAAAAATTATTATTTCTGTTTCAAAGCCATCATCTGTTTAATATAAATGAGATATTTAATGAAGTTCCAAATTGTAGACTTATCTCTCCCAGTTTGATAAGCACTGGGGAGATTTACTGCATCGGAGGGTCAACACAATTACAATTGGAGGCACGTCAAGCTGTAGGAGAATAATAAACTTGCAGTGCAAGTGAATTAGACTCAATAAGGTTTAAATTGTGAAATGAGGATTTGTTCTATTAGTTTTTTTAAATTGCAGATTACAACTGACAGCTTTACTTAAAAGTAAATTAAACAATATTTGTAGCCTCTGTTATACAGGAATCTAAGGCAAAGCTGAAGAGAAATGTTAAAATTCTGAAACACTAAGAAAAAAAGAGGATAGCAACATTAAATTGCTTGAAAGCTTAAACTTGCATGATACAGGTATTAAATTATGAACTAACCTTTATTTCGCTGCCTTTAAATAAGGTGTGAAAATATCAAAGTGCTTTGGGATTTATTTTCCCAGTGCTATATTGATGACTTTATGTAACAAGTGTCCAGCTTTTAGTGAGCCATATCACACAGTCCTTTATGTGACAACCCATCAACTTTCAAACTCATTTGTAGAAAGATCTCAAGAGATTTTCAGAAAGATACTGATAAGAATCAGAGAAATACATAGAAATTCACTCCTGGTGAATAAAATTACTCCTGGTAATAAAGTACAGGGTAGATAAAAGAAATAAAACAAGTGTTGTGTTTAGATGGCTGTGTTTTGTAAAACAAGTCACATATTTTAAAATTTCTATGGGGAAAACTTTTTCCATTTCTAATTAGCCTCTCAAAAGATGGGTTTAAACAAAGGAATCAACAGTCAACTACACAAATATTTTACAAAAGTTACATGCCTTTTTTAAAATAACAAAAATTGCATAACTGGCTTTCATTAAAAAACCAGTGTTTTCCTTACGCTGTTAACAGAAAGTTTGTGTAAGAAAAAAATCCATAGAATTTGGAAACTGTGCTGTGGGTAAGACAAAGAGACCAACAGTCCAAAGCAAGACTGCAGTTCAAATAGACTTGTTCTTCCTGATGCATTTCTAGTAAAGAGCTTGAATTACATATTCTAGTTCCTTGTCTTAGGCAGTGTCAGTGCTATCAGGTATCATTTAATTTCCTTAACTGATAAAAGAGTAGGTAATATAAACAAAGGTGTACAAATTCCTGACTTCATTAAAGGCCTAGCAAGAAAAGAAATACAGACAGCAACTGACTCCCATCAATAGCTGCTCCTAGCTGGAACGCTCCTTGGTGTGACAGTTCAGAATCACAGACCAACTGAGGTTGGACAAAACCACTGGGAATTATCTAGTCCAAACTCTTGCTCAAAGCAAGGTCAGCAAGGGCAAGCTGTGCCAGTGTTTCACCTCTAAGAAAATTCTAATCTTATGTATATAGAAATTTCTTGTATTTCTATTTGTTCCTGTTGCTTCTTGTCATGCCACTGGGCAGCCCTGAGAAGAGTTTGGATCAGTCTGTTTCTTACTCCCATCAGGTATTAATAGAAATTGACTGGTAAGAGCCCCCTGACCCTTCCCTCTAGAATGAAAAGAGAGAGTTCTCCCTCTGGATCCTAACACTGATCTACAATAAATGATCATATTCCTAAAAATGCAATAAAACCTCCCATGCTACAGATTCCCTGTAGCTCCTTTCCTCTCCATTCTCTTAAAAATAAAAATAGAAACAAGATTTTTTTTTTTTTTAAGTAAAAAAGGTCTCTACCCTGGCCCTTTGTCATTCAGATAAGAACCAGCTGTTTGCTAAAGCACTGTCTGTACTAACTAGCCCAGCTGCTGTTTATCTAGATGATAAAAGGAGAAATAATGCATTCCTTTTTACTTAAACACTACCATCCATCCTATCTGAAGTTATGCACATAAATATGAAAAAAAGTTTATGCACAAGAAGACTGCCAAAATATTCAAAACATAAACTTTTTTTTTTTTTTTAAGAAACAAGAATCAGACTCCCTTTTTCCTTCAGAAAGTAAATTATCCAAATATAGGCATGCAAGTATTATGGATTTTAAAGACAGCAGTATAAAAATTTGCTATATTACACTGCACCCAGGGTACTGAAGCCCTTTCTGCCACACAGAATTATTTTCCAGGCTGTCTTTTTTTCCTTTCTTATCTGTGTACTGTGGTTAAGATGTCCAAAATGATTCACTTTCCTTTTAAAACAGAGATACTTTAAAAATACTACTATCAATATTAAATATAGTTCTCTTTGTTACCACCCATGTTGGGATCCTGCTTGAGGGACAGGCTTTGCCAGATGCTAAAATATAGGTAAATAGCCAGTAAAAGGGTCAGGTTTGACTTACATGGACAATCCTGCACTAGTATATGTAAATTTAGTACAGTGTTTATAAGAAATATTGCATTCTTCTTCTGGCAATGTTAAAAAACAAGCAGAAGACAAAAAAATACTTTCAGAATGCTATGACAGAGCCCCCACAGCTTTGCAAAATTTAGTTAGATGGTAGCTTATTGGGAGGAACCTGGGCCAAGGTGGAACTTGTAAATTGATACAAGGATAGAAAACAGATAAAGGAGAAAAAGGTAAATCAAAATTAATGGATACAGACAGAAGGGCAGAACAGAAGACACAAAAGACTACAAAATAGAAATCTATGTACATATTTTCTTATCACCTAAGGCAGGATTCAAGCAGCATCCTTCAGAAGATGCTCACACTGCAGGTAAAATGTTCACCAAGGACATCAGACACAAGAAGGTACACAGATGGACCCCTTGATGGCAAGAGCAAAAGGTGTACCAAGGGACAAGTGTGCAGGAAGGAAGTTCAGTGATCTCTGTGCTTCATTCTTTACTGCTGAAGATGCTGGGGAGATTTCCACACCTGATCCTATTCTTGCAGTAAACAAGGAGAAGAGTGAGATCAGCCAGATGAAACTACATTAGACTAAATGGGTAGGTGAAAAGCTTAC